AGCCCCCAGTTACCCACCTACCTAAATTCTCTTGACTACAACTCAGACCCTTCAGATCTGCCGTTACTTAGAAGTACTTTCACATTCTGGCCCTTAAAACCCCAAACGCCCTTTAGGGAAATGTTAGGAGAGATCGGGATCGAGGTTTGGTGCAATTCGAAACAGACTCGAATTCTACCACAAAGCCTGTGTGTTGACCGATTTTATACTCCCTCTCCTGTCCATGCTCATAAAACGACGTGACACACGTGGCCACACAACCTCAGCGTCTACTGTAATGCTTTCCCATCCTGTTACCCTTTTAAAAGGCGGATCCCGCAGTGTCCTTTCCTCCCTCCGAACCACCTCTACCTCCCAGTCGTCTGGGAGGAGCTTCACGCTAAAGCTTTCGAGCCCGCCGACGCGCCGCAGCAGTAGCTGAGAGGACTGGAGCTTCCAGGAGCTGCGTCTGCTGCAACCTCTCTACTGACGCTACGTGCCTTGAGACTGCGACCTGGCTCGCGGTGCGCCAGTCTCTCTCCGTCTGCTCTCCACCTGGCACGCACCTGGTGGAGGCCGGGGTTCTGCCAAGCGCCAAGAGGGCGCGCGTGCCACTGGCCCTAGGGAAACGCGGAGCGTGCGCGCCATGGGGCCGCCGCCCGGGATCAGGGTCTCCTGCCGCGGTGACTGCGGCTTTTCCCGATTGCTGGCGTGGTGCTTTCTCCTAGCTCTGAGTCCTCACGCCCCGGGATCCCGGGGGGCGGAAGCTGTGTGGACTGCGTACCTCAACGTGTCCTGGCGAGTTCCGCACACCGGAGTGAACCGCACCGTGTGGGAGCTGAGCGAAGAGGGCGTGTATGGCCAGGACTCGCCTCTGGAGCCTGTGGCTGGGGTCCTGGTACCGCCCGACGGGCCCGGGGCACTCAACGCCTGTAACCCACACACGAATTTCACGGTGCCCACGGTTTGGGGAAGCACTGTGCAAGTCTCTTGGCTGGCCCTTATCCAACGCGGCGGGGGCTGCACCTTTGCAGACAAGATCCATCTGGCATACGAGAGAGGGGCGTCTGGAGCCGTCATCTTTAACTTCCCAGGGACCCGCAATGAGGTCATCCCCATGTCTCACCCCGGTGAGTGCAGCTACTAAATTGCACCCCTTCAAACCTCTGCCAGGACCAGTTTCTCCCATTTTCCTTAGTGCCCTTCTCTCCCTATGCCCTCGCGCCGAAGGAAAATGGGTGCCCTTTCTCTTCCCACTGTGTAGGGCAGTGTCTTCCTGAGATTCACCAACAGTGGGGATTGGTGGGAAAAGAAAATCCTTCCGAATTTGCCTCTTTACTGAGAAAGGGTAAGGCAAACGGAGTGCGAAGCTGGCAAATTTAGAACTGCCTGGGCTCTTTGCATCTCCTTTTCCTGGTGTTTTATAAGGGTGCCTTGCTGTGGATTGTGTGGTAGTGTGCTTTGGCTTTTAAACAGGGTTGAGAAGATGGCCTGGAAATCCCTTCCTTACTTTTTACTGTGTAACAACAGCTTTTCTTCCCTCTCCGTCTCCCCCCCAACACCATGTTTCCTAGGTAAAAGATTGTATTACAGTGCATTAACTTTATTGTAATTTTGGTGGAAACTTTGCTTAGCTTTTGGGATCTTCTGTGCCCAGTATTCTCTTGCCCCCAAGTGATTGTTGGTATCAGTGCTTTTATTTGCCTCTGAAAATTCTGATTTCGGTTCTTGAGTTCCCAAGCAGGTGAATAGCATTACTGAAAAGAAAAGAGGTCTATTATGCATGGGGATAGCAAAGGCCTAGACTTTGTAAAAGTAGTCCAAGTAGTTCTTAAATTTGTGGAGCTGGGGTGCGTTACTATTCTTCTTCCTTCAGCTGTCCTTCCAGAAACTTCCCTGTGCATGAGTAGGTATTCATACCATATGTATATAGTGTATATATGGCCTATATGTATATAGGCCTCGAAGGAAAAAGGAAAAATTGGGAGAGAAAAAGGAAAGACCATGTAATAGCAGTATATAGTGGTTGTTAAGAGCCAGGCCTCAATTCAGACCTTGATTCAAATTTCTGCTCCATTGCTTATTACTCCTGTGACCTTGGGCAACTTATTTGAAGTCTGATTCTGGATACCCCCATCAGCCAATGGGAATAAATAATAAGAAGGAAATAAAAAAGAAAAGAAAAATAAATTAAAAAGAACTTGTTCACAGATTTGCCTTGAAGATAAAATAAAATAAAGCCTTAATGAGTCTAGGACAGTGTAGCATTATTCACTCTTGCTAAAGTTAACTGATACGGATTAACTTTCCAGGAGTCACTGGGGAGAAGAATCTGCTTACTTAACCATCAGAGGTTTTGTTTTTTCTTAAAACAGTATGACTGGCTCTGCCTAGAGAGCACTTCTAATGAGTGACTGGGTGGCATAATAGAAAGAGCACAGAGCTGGAACTTTGGAATCTTGAGTTCCTTTAGCCCCTTCTTTACCTCTAGCTTTGTGACCTTGTAGAAGTTATTCACACATCAAATGGTAGTATGGAGGTGGAGAGGGAGGAGGCCAAGCCAGCAGAACGTGCAGAGATAAAAGTGAACTAGATGAACTCTTAAGATTCCCTCCAGCTCTGAAATGCTCTGCTTCTTGGATTTAGTATACTGATTAAGGAAGACACTGTATCTCTCTTGATAGATAATTAGCTGATTAGAATGAAGTTGCTTTGTAATGGCTAGTAAATATGAATAATAAGGCTTAGCAAATTTTAAAGCCTTTACATTTCAGCTGGTCATCTAAATGCAAGGGTTTGATTTTGTCTCCTCTAAATGAGATTCATTTGCTTGAATAATTCATAATTGAAGAGTATGCTTTAATTGGAGTGCCTACTTAGAACATTTTCTTTCCACTTCTGTTAAGGATATGTATCTAATAGCTTGAGGAGACAAAAAAATCAACTTTTGTTGAGCTCCTACTATGCACTAGGCATTCTACATATATGTTACGCTTTATTGACACGTGGCACAGACATTGCAGGCAAGATTGGAAATCAAATTCAGGATTTACCACACAATAGGTTTGTGTTGTTGGCTAGATTATTTTACTGGTCCTCAGTTTTCCCATCTGTAAGATGGAGATAATATTTATGTTGTTGTGACTGCCAAGGATGTTATATGTTAACCACCTAGAAGATAATAAATGCTCAATGAATATTGGGTTAATGCTAACAGGATGCAAAAATGAATGCACCAATGTATGATTATTCAGTTGTTAATTTGAAGACATGAATCCATTGCAAATCTAATTACGGCTGTTATGTTTCAGGATATCATATAGGAATAAAGGCCTAAATGTTATCAATTAGTTAAAATACATTCAGAAAGGTATTTTGAGGGCCGGGGATTTAGCTCAGTGGTTCCACCACCTGCCTCGCAAGCACAAGTACCTGAATTCAATCCCCGGTACCAAAAAAAAATGCTTCTCAGAAAGGTATTTTGATAGTTTTAAAACTTATTATTATCCAAAGGATTGTTGTAGCAAATGTTGCCACTTAGCTAATTAGCCAAAAAACAGCTAGAAAATTACTTGAATAGAATCATATTTCTCGGAGCCAGGGTTTTAGCTCAGTGGTTCTGCCGCCTGCCTCGCAAGCACAAGGTCCCGAGTTCGATCCCCGGTACCCCCAAAAAAGTCAAAAGACACATATTTCTCCATTAAACTCATGGAGAAATTATTCTTCAACATAGGGGAAAAATCACTTTGCATTTTATCCACATGTGTTACTGAATATTTATTTCAAAGTTCTGTATTGTTTGTTCTACTCATTACTGAGAAGAAGCCTCAGGCTCCCTGCAAATATCTGGTCAAAAGCAATTTATCTTGAATCATAGTGGCAGAAAGGTAGGACCGAGGTTTAATGGTTGATTACTCATTATATATTGACGTGAATTGTGCAGGGGCTACCAAATGTATGAAAGCCGACGTTGTCCTCTTTGTTTACAAAGTTCTCTTGGCAAACTCACAGGGGCCTGCACTTGAATTGTTTCTCCTTTTTTCCAGTTTATGCTGAATATCCACACTCACCTATCAGGATCCTGTGACCACAAAGATATATTTGTTTCAAGTAATAGAACTGGTTTAAAACACTTGCTCCAAATTTTTTGTTTAGAAAAACCCCACTCTACTGTATAAGAGAAATAAATTGGGAAAAGGAAGCCATTTTTATGTATACCAAAATTTCACAAAAGGTAGTTGTAACCTGACATCAACCCATAAAATTCATTTTTATATTTTATTTGGGTTTCAAGGTAGTCAGAAAATCTTGATTTAAAAAGATAAATAGTTTTAAATGGTAGATGTTTGTTAACAGCTTGCCTTGGACTCTCTGGATATTCATATTACAGTTAAATTTATTAAGAAACCTGGAAGGAAATTGGGAAGAATTTTTGGTTTCATAATTTAATTACCATGCAGAGTGCTTACTTTAAATATGAAAATAATATAAGAAGCAGCCTAAACTTAAAGTAAGCACTAAAGCTATCTAAAAGATAGATTGTCGCAATGAGACACAGCATTCTTTCACTCTTGCACAACTAACTGTTCATCTTTCTTGAAGCAGATGGGCCTAAACCTTGCCTGCTAATTGAGTACAGCCTACGGGCTGAAATGGTGTGTGTACTTGCTTGCACAATATTCTTAAAGTCAACATGTGCAGGCATGAATTTATTGAAAGACTTGCATAGAGCTATAGCCTCCATAATCTATGACACATTTATAAGAACTTGAAACATATGCAAAGGCGTGGCAGGAGAAGCATTGTTCCTGCAGGCTATTAAAAAAGTGAATGAATCAAGCCTTGTAAGTTAATGATTTGGTGGTCTCCAGTGGGATATAGTTTGATACATAAAACAGTTGTTCGTGCACATTATTGAAAGACAGTATAGCACATCATCAAAGAGGTTGGGTTTTACCATTTACCCTTTTCAAACTCTTGGCAAGTTATTTTATTTCTTTCAGTTTTCTTCTATGTAAGATGGGCATAATAACAAACTTGCCTCATAAGGATTCTAGGATTAAGTGAAATAATGCAGATAAAGTGTTGAGCACAGAGTCTGACATATAAGAAGCTACTGTTGTCTTTTTAGTCACAGTTAAGATAAAGTGTATTTCAGAAAATGAAAATGGAATCCTTTGGAGAACATAATTTGAAAACAAATAACCTAGAGTACTTCTGAGTCCACATCAACTGAAATCCTGACTTGAACTGTTAGGAACACGGTGGATAGACTGAATTTTTTTTACAAAGAAAAGGTCTTGGTTCTATTAGGTTTGTCATTCTTTTCTTAAATAATTGCTCTTCCCTTAAGCTATCAATCTTTCCACTCAAAAGGACTTTGCAATAGTATTTTACACTGATTTATCACCACCCAGTTCCTCTTCAGCTCTTTTATATTTAGTTTTGTTTTTTCTAGTATGTTAACCTTGAAAAGGACCTTTTGAGTAGAGCAAGAGGTTCACCAGAGGATCAGAAGGAATGGTTTGGGTGATGATGATTATCCAGTGTAGAATAACCATTCCCCAAACCATTTCAAGATACATCCTTCTTGATATCTCTGCAAAGATATTTAACATTGTATTGAACATTGTAGATCCCTTTATCTTCGGAACTCTCCCAAGCCATCTCTTGCTTCTCTTGCCTCTCTTTTGTGCCATTTCTGCTATTTTATTAATCAATTCATCTAATATTTATTTTCCCTGACACCCAATCCCCCCATCACTCCAGTCCTCCTCTAATAAATAGCTGCCACATCCAGTTGATTCAATCACTTTAGATCTTCTCAGGATGTCCCCTTCTCCCTTGCAACCATTATTACCTTCCTTTCAGCTCCTCTGTCTTCTCACATCTTTCTGATTGTTTCTCTTGCGTCCAGTCATTTTCTCCCTTCCTGCAGTTCTTCCTCCATATTGCCACAATAACACAGCTCACGGGCATGCCATTAGACTACATTGCTCCTCTGGGGATAGGAGATTAAATAATCTGACCCCAAACTGTCAAACTACTTTCAGATTCCTCTTCTTTCATGTTGATTCCTAAACATTCTGTATCCATTTCCATTGTCATTCCTTTGATGTTTCTTTCTTCT